AAAAAAAGAATGCTTGGGTCCCTTCACAAATTTATTCCTCACCATTGTGGTAAAAAGTGTGTCCTTCATGCACTCTTTCAGTGGATTTGTGGGTCCAACCTGAGAAATTCACTCTAACGTGCCAATTTCCGTAAGCCTTCGAATACCTTCTTCTACAGTATTCCAAGGCAGGTCTGGTAATTCAGCTTGATTTAGTGTAGGCCACTGCTTAATCCGTGCTTCAGTGAACAAACCAAATAAACTATTAGATCCCTTTCTAACTTCTTCAGCTGAAACACTAAATAGTCTGTTCTCAGTGGGCCCACAGCAATAAACTCAGACTGATCTAACTTTATGTTCCTTGCTCCATTATCCCACATTCTTAATAGCCATTCCCATACATAGTCCCTAGGTTTCTGTCTGAATATGTTAGAAAAAATCAAAAAGTTCTTTTGGAGTGCAGCGTACCTCCTCCTGGGTCACACTTTGTACTTCACCTTTTGGGGTTTGCTGGGACTTAAGTCTAATTATAGGTCTAGAAGCAAAATGGGTGATGGGGGTATGTTCTGGCAACATTCAACAATGTCTTGTAACGCATCTGCCTTAGGCAACGCTCCAAGCAAAGCCGCAGACACTGCCCGAGGTAATATCTCAGAAAAAATGCTCTTCAGACACAGCTGGGTTAATTTTATCAGATGGAGGTGGAAGGGATAATAGTTTTACTGGGGAAGGTGGCTTAGCAGACAAAGATCGAGTATTCTCTTCAGATCCGAGTAAGGATTGGTCCTGTTGGCAGGAGTGATTCAATGGAATTTAGGGGCTCAATGTCGCCAGCTTCCAGCTTATCTGTTCATATGTTCCCATCCCAAGTTTCAGGATCCCATTTCTTCCCAATCAGTGCCCTCACTTTAATTTTAGACAGCATCCGCTATTTGGAACTCAACTGGCCTAATTCAGCCACTCTTACGATAAGACTCTGGGTTTGTTTTTGGCAGTATCAGCTCCGTTACGAGAAATGAGGCTTTTTTTCACGGCACAAGTGGCTACTTTCAGGTCTTGCATGTGGCACTTGAGCTGTGACTCTGAAGCACTGAGCAGATTTCTTTGTTTTACCACTTTGTCTAGTGAAAGTAGGACCAACCAACCAGCTTCCTTACACTTCTTATTCTGGCAAAATTGTACAACAGTATCAAATATGCAAGAACTGGTTGGATTCTCTGTATATTCTCAAGTAGAGGAGCCAGCATTTTCCAACAGATAGAACATAGAGTGAGAGAAACAGGAATCAAAGACATCTGGAGGCTTGGCAAAAATATTATTTCCATTTCCTGGGTGGGATGAGGAAAGAGTGTGGCATGATGTTTAGGAAGGAAGAGCAGGAGATTGATTTTGTAATGTCTGTCAGATATCCCAGTGGAGATGTGGAAGAGGTACAAAGATGCATGTCTGGTGATCAGCGGAGAGGGAGAGGCTGAAAATACAATGTGGGAGTCATCAGTGTGTAGTTGGTATTTAAAAGCATAACACTCAAAACTGTCACACGAATGAGGGTGGGTAGAGTACAGAAAAGGGCCTGGACTAAGCCCTGGAGGGCTTCAACACACAGAAGTCAGACAGACCAGGAGAAACCAGAAAAACATACAAGAAGGAAGTAGCAGAAGAAGTGTGCTCTGTGTAGGAGGATGAAGGCTCTTGCATGAGGAAGTGGTCACTGGTGCTGGCCTTGGGAAGGTCACTGCTTATATCAAGAAGTGTGACTGGGGGAGAGTCCTGAAGCGAAAAGCCCGAAAATGAAATGGCTTTAAGAAAGGATGGAGCAGACAATTTGGAGACAGTGTTTCAGCAATACTTGGAGGCATTTTATTATAAAGGAAAGTAGAAAAAGGGACCAATAGGAAGAGGATGTGAGATCAAGGTAAATGAAAAACATTTGTTCTAAGATGAGAGAAAATAAAGGTGCAATTACAGGATGATGGACAAATTCAGAGTGAGAGAAGAGACGTGAGGGCACTATGCTCGTGAATAGGCTAGATGAGTGATGTGGGAGGGCTGGCTGTTTGAGCATTACTGACCATATCCCCAAAGTGAAGACACCGCACATCTGCCAAGAGAACGCATGAATGAGTAGTGTAAATCAATACAGTGGAATACCATGTTGCAAGAAAAATGAACAAATTCTGCAAAATACAACAAAATGGATGCACTTCACAAACATAATGCTAAGTGAAAGAAGCTAGGCAAAAAGGATACATACTGTATGATTACTGTATGGTTCTCTTACAAGTTCTCAAATGGACAAAAGGCATCTACTGTTAGAAGTCAGCACAGTGGCTACCTGCAGGCAGGTGGGAGACGGAGTAACTGGAGGGGGAACGGGGTAGTCCCAGGTGTGAATTACACCTATTTTTTGGGCCGGGTAACAATTATACATGAGTATTCACTTTGCGATCATTCAGTGAAATGCACACTTAAAAGCCGTGCATGTTTCTGCATGTCTTATACTGATTATTAAAAAATAAAACAACTGAAGTTTCTCTCTGATGCCCACAGCCCTTATCAGTGGGAAAGTTTAAGTAGAGGTTGATGACCACTTGCTATGGACTTGATAAAAGTTTGACTTAAAGTCGATTCCAACTCTAAAAATTTAACAGATGAATTAAACTTTAAAAAATTGCAAATAAAATTAAAACAAGGCTGCTCATTCTTTCACTCAAAAGTAATAAGATTTTTTTTTTTTCATAGTGAAAATCAACGCACCACTCAGAAGAAAACAAGCATGGTATTCTTGAAAATAATTTGTGATCCATTAGTGTCCAGTTACGCTCACTGAGATCAATCCCTACTGTGATTCATGCTTTTTATTCCCACCCTCAAACTGACTCACAAAGAAATACTAAATTAATGTGCTGTCATGGATTGAATTGTGTCCCCAAAAAATGTCTGTCAACTTGGCTAAGTCATGATTCCCAGGATTGTGTGATTGTTTACCATTTTGTCATCTGATGTGATTTCCCTATGTGTTGTATATCCTACCACTATGACATAATAAGATGGATTAGCAGCAGTTATATTGTTGAGATCTACCAGATTAGATAGTGTCTTAAGCCAATCTCTTTTGAGATATAAAAGAGAGAAGTGAGCAGAGAGACAGGGGACCTCATACCACCAAGAAAGCAGCACTGGGAGCAGAGCTCATCCTTTGGACCCAGGCTCCCTGCACAGAGGAGCTCCTAGTCTGGGGGAAGATTGATGAGAAGGCTGACAGAGAGAGAAAGACTTCGCCTGGAGTTGACACCCTGAATTTGGACTTTTAGCCTACTTTACGGTGAAGAAATAAATTTCTCTTTGTTAAAGCCATCCACTTATGGTATTTCTGTTATAGCAGCACTAGATCACTAAGACATGTGCATTATCCTATGGTCACATAATGTTTCTTTTTAAAATTATTTTTCTAGGAAAGGTAAAAACCAAACCAGCTGGAACAGCTGGATCTTATAACAACACAACAGTCAGGAATTTTGGCATAGTTGGTCCCCCCGCCCACCTCCAAATTATCAAAAAATCTGCTGCCAGAAGTACAAACATGCCATCACAGATCGATCAGTGCTTCTACTACAGAAGACCTAAGTCAAGTCCTGGCTTCCTTCCCGTGGCACTTCTCTATAATAAAGTGACAAACATGTTATTGATAAAAATGTCTTTTCTTATAAAAGAACCTACAATTAGTGATGGCCAGAGTGAGTTCTTTGTACTCACCAGGGAGGGTAGATGTGCACGATGTCCTGAGGACGTCCCTTGAGGTTGCTTGCAGTATCCTTGGTGAAGAGAATCTTCAGGCAGGCCCCGGGGCCGGGGGCCACACCTGGAGAAGGGCTGCTGGCTTGCAGGTCCTCTAACTGCTCACAAATGGCCACTTGCATGGTGCATTCCTCATGCAGCTCCAGAATTTTCACAACTAATACACCAGATTTTCTACCTAAAAGTTGAAGAAAAGAAAACAATGGAGATCAGGCTACCTGACTCAAGAAACATTTATGAGAATTAAATGAGATAAATGAGGTTGGGAATATGATATTCCATAACCCAGAAATTCTAGCAAAATATAGACTCTATCATGCTCACTGTAACATCTTTCTTTAATCAAAATAGGCCTGGCATATTGCCTATAATATATGCATTTTAAGCAACAGCAGTCATTCTATATGTTTTCATAAAGTAACACTTGCATTTACAGAAAACTCTGACTCAAAAGTATGAACTAGAAGGATACAAAGAAAATTCATATAGCTATTGCCTCTAAGGAGAGAGAAAATGGAATGGAACTGAGAAGTGGAACCAAGGGGACTTGAAATTTATCTCTTACATTCTGTTTCTATACAAACGTATGTTTTTATAAAAAGACATGGAGCAAAAGGACAAAAGATTAACATGTATTGTTAATTCTAGATAGTAAGTATACTTATGTTTTGCCTTATTGTTTTTTTCTTTATTTTTAATTAAAAAAAAAAAGATAAATGAGTTAACAGAAGCTAAGTGTCTAGCATTGTGCCTTGATAATAATAATTAAAAAACAAAACAAAACCATTTATCATTGTGTCGAGTCCTACTCATGGCTTCCCCATGTCAGAGTAGAACTGTGCTCCAAAGGGTTTTCAATAGATGATTTTTGGGAAGTAGATCACCTAGCCTTTCTTCCAAGGGACCTCTGGGTGGACTCAAACCTACAATCTTTTGGTTAGCAGCCAAGTGAGTTAACTGTTCACACTACCCAGAGAAGTCTTGCTAATAACAGACACTCACGACATATGAGTTTCTTTACTACCTGGCTGAGTGGTTAATAGCGACAAACAAAAATTAATATTTAAATAATGATATTTTTTACTTATATAGTTTAATTTTCCTATTTCTCCAATGTTTCTTCATTCATTTTCCACTCAACCCCCAATTTTCCATCCCTTCCTTTGTCTAAATGCCATAAAAACAGGTATCTAAAGAAAGACACCACCTAGGAAGTTAACAGAGAGTCTGCTCTGCTACAACGTGTTTATTTAATGAAAAGTTGTTCGTTTTCAATTGGTGAATAAGGAAAAGAAATCAAGATAATGTGAAGGTTAGATTGGTACATCCACATTCTTTCCTGGGTGGGGCGGCCACAAGGTGGGTAGGGAGTTATGCTCTTCAGAAGCAAAGGCGAAAGACGTAAGTTCAGCTACTGCACTGGCCACAGAACATTTTTGGACATATTTTAGGAATTTATATAAATTGTCCCAACACTGTGCAGCAGGTTTGCTGCCTCCCTGTCCCCTGCTGTCCAGGGCTCCACCTCCACCTGTACCCACCTAGCACCCTGCTCAAGGTGAAAGGGCCACAAGTGTGCTCCCATGGCTGTGGGGGCTGTCATATTGCTGTGGGCTCCAGTTGTGTTCAGCCACCTGCCAGAGTGGCACCCACTCTTCAAGCAGGCACTCATTATTGTCTTGTGTGAGCTCTGGCTAAAAGTGACATTAAGTTTTCAGTGGCTTGTCCCAACCTTCTTGTCCACATTATTAAAGGCAAGATATTACAGAAACACATAAATCATATTACAGCAGAAATACCTACATATTAAAGATGAATAATACTATCTTTCTAAACTTTTTATTACAAATTCTGACAATATTATAATAACTGAATTCTGCTCAAGATATACAACACTAAATAACTTGTAGAACAAACACATTTTATGACGTTGGCTCTCACCACAATGCTGGTACACAAAGAATGTTGAGAAATAATTAGGTTTGAGAATGAATAACAAGTGGTGATAATATCTTGACCACATGATGGAGCGGAGAACAGCTCTGTCTTTTCCACGGAGCACTCTAAAGCATCTTCTACGGAATGTCCTCCAAAAGAGACTTAGCAAGAAGTGAGAGGTCTTTCTTTAAAGGGAAAAAAAAAAAAAAAAGCAGGATAGATAATTTCCCCCTTCTATGAAGAAAAAAAAGCACCGGGCAACCTAAGCCAAATTATGTGCCTGAGGCAAGCTTTTAACCCAAGGACAAGAGACACTGATTTTACAAATGAAGAAGAGTATTCTGCAATTAGGTGAATGGTCTATAAAAGGCTATTTCTGTCTCACTGAAGTAACATTTCCATAAATGCTGCAAGATCAGTCAAAATCTCACTCTGTCCAGGAAGTGTCTGCTGAATCCCACTAGCAACAGCTATTCCTTCCCTTTGAAATCCTCAAATAACTAGTCTATACTTAACCCTCTTACAACACTTTCCTCATTTTAAGTGGAGATAGTATCAGCTAACTCAAAACACAACTGGAAAAATCAAACAAGAGAACATACACAGCACACAGTGCAGTATCTGGTATCCCACTGATCACAAGCACAATAATGGTGGCTATTGTTACCACTGCCGGTGTTGTTACTATTAACTGTTCAAGGTATTTTCAGATCTAATATCTTATTTGATCCACAGTAACTCCATTAAATAGGTAAGGATGATATTACTCTCCTCTTTTGACAGATAAGGAAACTGAAAAATAAAGTTAGTTGTTCATATGACTTTCTTAAGGTTAGAGAGGAAGAGTAGCAAGTCTAATACTAAAATTCAAATATCTTTAAAAGCCAAAGACCAAAATGTCAGTTAAAAGGCAATTAAAAATAAGAAATTGTGAGCGATATTTGTTTTCTACCTCATTATGCAAAAACATAGGAATTTTGTTTAGAATGTAAACAAAGATAGGCCACCATGTTGAGAAATGGACTACAGTGAGGCTCACCACTGTGCTGAACATGGTCAGGATTTCAATAAAACTTATGGTATTTTTAAGAGAGTAACGTGTGTTATATGCTTTTTTTGCCAACTGTGTGCTGCCTTAGCAGGGTATTTTGTAAGCGTGCTATGTTAATTTTTTAAAAAGAAACATGGAAAAAAAGTTAGCAGAGTACACTTATGAAAATACCTCGCGGGTGGAGGACACGGGAAAATAAGTATAACGTGCACGTTATTTGCGTAAAATATGGTATACGGAAGAAGAATATCCCTTCTGATAGCACTAAAACCTGAACAGAAAGTGCTACAAAAATGAAATGCAGAGCATACAAAGAAACAGAAAAGGACAGTTCATTCAAAAAGACAAAGTGACAGAAATTGTCCATGGAAGCCCAGTTAATGGACTTATTAGACAAAGACTTTAAAACAATAGTATTAAATACACTCAAAGAGCTAAAAGAAAACATGGACCACAAACTAAATGAAATCAGGAAAAAGGTACAGGAAAAAAACCAAAAATATCAATAGAGAGATACAAATTATAAAAAGGAACCAAATAGAATTACTGGAGGTGAAAAGTACAAAAACTGAAGTAAAAAAAATTCCTAGGGGGTACAACAGCAGATTTTAGCTGCCAGAAGAAAGAATCAGTGAATGTGAAGATAGGAAAACTGACATTACTGAGTCTGAGAAACAAAAAGAATGAAAAAAAGTAAACAGAGCCTAAAGAGCCTGTGGGATACCATCAAGCAAACCAACAAATGCATTGTAAGAGTTCCAGAAGACAGAAAGGGGCAGAAAGAATATTTGAAGAAGTAATAGATGAAAACTTTCCACATTTGATTAAAGACATGAATCTACATATACTAAAATCTGAATAAAATCAAAGGAGGATAAATCAAAGAGATCTACACAGAGACACATTATAATCAAACTGTCAAAAACCAAACATAAAGAGAGAATCTTGAAAGCTGCAAGAGAGAAATGAATTGTCATATACAAGGGATCCTCAATGAGAATAATAAACATCAATTTCTCCTCATGAACCATGGAGGCTAGAAGGCAGTGGATAACATATTTAACGTGGTGAAAAAATAAAGAACCGTCAACCAAGAATTCTATAACTGGCAAAACTACTATCCATAAACGAGGGCAAATTAAGAAATTCCCAGATAAACAAAAGAAATGGTCAGATTCTAGATATACTTTGAAGGTACAGTCAGTAGGATTTGCTGATGGACTGTGGGATATGAAGGAAAGTAGTCAAGAAGGACTCCAGTGTTCGCGTGAGCAAGTAGAACAGGGCTACCATTTACTGAGATAGGGAAGATTTCTAGATTAGCAGGTCTCTTTTTGTGGGAGAGGACAGAGAGGACTAGTATCAAAAAATCAGTTTTGAACATATTAAGACTGAGATGCCTATTAGTTCTTGCAATAGCCTTGCCACAATTAAACTCCCCAAATTACTACCTGATTAACCTATTGTTCATAAAAGCCCATCAGAGTGGACTTTTTAAATGTAAATTTAACGACAGCCACTTCCACAGTTGAACCTTTAAATGGCAATCCATTGGATAAAATCCAAACCACTGCATTGTATAGAAAGTCCTTTGTTACCCATTACTTCCAACTGCTATAACCTCAAATCCCACTCTTCTATTAAAGCATCTTTAAATTATTTCTATAATAAGGTAAAAAAATAAACAATCATGCTTTAAGATAGTGTCAAAACTATTTCCCCAGTGAACTTCTCTCAAAATTCAACTTAACTTTTCCCACCCTGCACAGCTGATCACTTTCCTTCATGTCATTATTTTACCTCATATTACTGGGATTTTAACATATAGAATTAATAATTTCCTGTACTTCACAATGAACTCCAGGCCACATGTGGATCAATACTAGAAATATGTATGAACTGAATGAACCCTAATATAAACTGATGTAAAGAACTTACTGGACTGTTTTTCCAGTCTTGGTTTCATTGTCAACCAGGATGCTTTTGACATACTTACGCTTTACCTCAGTTGCACTTGGGACGGATACAGAGAATATAAACTGTGATTTAAGAGAAAATTAAACAAATAATACATTCCAAAATTCAAATGATTTATTTATTCACTACTTGTATTGTATCACTATTTTTTTCCATTAACCTGCACTAAGAGTTGAATTGCATTATTTGTACATATTTATGATGTGTTTTCT